AAAGTACAGTGACCCCTTATTCAGGCAAACTTTACACACTCGGATTGCTGGCATGAAATTTTTAAGATGCCAGCATTTTATCTTGTTAAAAATGGAATGAAAAATTAGTTTATCGGATTCTCTGTGATTCGAAGAGTTGGAAACATACTTATTTCTGCAAAGTTTCTAAAAAATTCACGAAATATCGACTTTGGAAACGAATTCCCATGACGTCTTACTAACACCACGTAAGCAATGAAAGGCTAAGGATCGCTTTTCTCTTTGCCAAGTGCAAGGACACTGCGTGACATTGCATAATCTGTAATGCGTTGATATATTCCATCAATTATATGTATGAACCATATTTTCTATTTTTTACAGGATGCAGATATTTCGACATCTCCATTCGAAATTCAGTACGAACATTTTTACGATGTGGATTTTGCCGTACCCCATGTAATAATGCCATTAGTTTTCATAATAAAAGTGAAAAAACAGGAAGTCAACTGGCAAACAATTGTAAATGTCCTTTCTTTAGAGGTGAGTTTGCAGTTTTTCATCATAATTTGCATTCGTTAATTATAAAATTACAACTTTTAATCATTACAAATTCTGTTGATGCCATAACAGTTTTTTTTACAAAAATTCAACACAGGTGTGGCTGGCTCTGCTGGGCTGTATTGTTCTGCTTGGATTATATCTTCGTTGCGTAATTAAAGACAAAGACGAGAAACCTTTGCCTATAGGCAGTTTATACTGGTCTCTCATCGTAACTTTGAGTAACCAAGGTAAGTCGACAGAGTTTATGAGAATTACGTTGAAGTACGTCTCATAAATGACGTTTGTGTTAGTAGTACACATTTATTAGTTCTGCCCCATGTTTTGACAAATGAGCAAAATTTGAAAATTAGTGAAAAAATAATAAAAAATAAAAAATTAGCATGTTATTTATAGGAAATCGTCTATTTTATAAGTAGACAGTGCAATTTTGTAAAATCGCGCCATTAGCTTGGTCTGATTCGGGACTGTCTTGCTACCATTTAAAACTTATTTCATCTTCGAAAGACATGACAAATCTCAAATCTGATAGATAAGAAGATACTGATAATAGAAAATAAATCACTTTTTGGTTAACAATTAACATGGCAATAAAATTTTAGTTTTTTTAAAATGGATTCTAAATGAATGGATTTCCAAGGTTTTCTTCCAAATTTCATAAACACCAGTAACGAGTTGCTCAACTTTCCCCGCAACATGTAAAATTTTGTTGGCGCAATCTGCTATCACGTTTGACTGAAAAACTATTTTTATTGTTAACTATTATATAATAGCCAATAGCTGAATTTTAAGGATTGGGACAAATTTTATAAAAATAAAATTGTAACTGCTGATAAAGTCGACATTATATTTGAACATAGTGGAGATACACACGACTCTTATTATCTCCCCATCCTCGTGACCTTTAATTAACCTCCAAAATTTAACAGCATCGGTTCCCTAATAAACAAACCTTCCCGAAAAATTTTAGTAATTTTCAACAGAAAGCGCAGAAGCTTCACTGAGAGTGGAGAAAATCGTGGTGCATGTACACTCGCAGTAACATGTTTTTCATATGAAAAAAACTGAATTATTTATATAAAAATCTTGGAGGGGAGTCATTTTTTAACCGATCGCTATAGTTTCATACTTATCCGGTGTTAAATATAACAAGAGAAATATAAAAAAAATAACAGATAAAGAGGTTAAAATTTAATAAAATTTAACAATTAAAATTTGCATTCAGAAATATGAAAGGTTGTGGGAATTTTAATAAAGCACATATCATGATGTTTGTTGATAATTGGACACCATTATAATATGTTTTATCATTTCTTTTATAATTGTTCGTTCGAATCATCGTTTTTTATCGTTTTGCAGCTAAATTGATTTCATTTTAACATTAAAATCGCATAATTTTTAAATACAGTAGAGCCTCGGTTATCCGACTCAATTGGGGACTGGGGTTGGTCGGATAACCGAAAAGTATGAAAAAATCCATTATTAGTGTAGTATATTATTATATCCCATGTAATTAGTATATTAGTATATCGCTATTAACCTACTTCGCGTTGAATTTTCATCGATGTTAAGCCTAACAAAAATTTTTTAAAATAATAATCGTCGCTATTGTATCGTTAAAAATTAGAAAATTAAGCCTCGTTTAAATACTGGCTCCCTTTCATGATCGAATGAGTGTTGCCAGTTAAAACACGTAAAAATAATATTAAAGTAGCCAAGACATAGCCAAATATTGTAGCGCCACATCACTATCGGACATTTGAAATTTGCCGACTAGGACGGTCGGTTAATCGGAGGTCGGATAATCGAGGCTCTACTGTACTGGGATGACAGATGCAAATTATTTTGTTTGAATGGGGAGATTTTCAGAAAATTTGCACTTTTTCTTAAAAACGGAGATTCTCTTTAAAAGAAAAGAATGAAATTTTTTTATCCTTTTACAAATTTTTGCTAGTTTTACAATTTGTTCAAACATGAAAAAACGGGGCAGATCCTTGTATATACAAATTACTTCCATTGTTTTAGGAGTCAACATACATGCCATAAATCGATTTACGTCCAGAATAACTTTCGGATTGTGGTTGCTATCGATTAGTGTTCTGATATGGGGATATGGCAACGTGCTAGAATCGTCGCTGGCCGTGCGGGAAAACGAACCCATGCCAAGGACATTCGAACAACTTGCATCTGCTCTTGAAAGAAGAGAGTATTCCTGCTTCTCGAATCTCCTACCGAATGAAATAGAAAGCCTGAATGTAAGTACAAAATTGCTTTAGACTGTAACCCGAATCAATAAAATGAAGTTATCGGTTAGATGTTTCAACGTATAAAAACACGAAAACATTTTCATGAGAACACTGGAAGTGGTAAATCAGAGAACAAGATGAGAACACTAAATCTACTTCGTACAAAATTTGTACAAAAAAGAAATCTGTATTCATCGAAATAACAATAGTACTTACTCAAAACACTAGTTTTGAGCAGTATTACAAAAAGGCTATCTGCAACCAATACTACAGCTTTTGAACTATATTGTATATGTTTATTCCTAAAACCTTTAAAAACCAGCTTAAAAAGTAAATCTCGTTGAAAACATCTAAATAAACGATACTTTTGAAAATTGTTGTATAAAAATAAAATTTCTTCACTGATACTGTTCAAATATGCTTTAATAATCAGCCAAATTATTAGAATTTTAGGCAAGAGAGTTTAAGGCACAAAGTAAAGCTTGAAGAGTATTTCTGTGAGGATGATTGTTTTTGTGATTTATTATTGTTATCACATTCCGTCATCCAAAACTTCCTGTAATTGTGGTTTGTGTAATGTGCACTTTATTAACACGTTGAGTTTTACGGGAAATACTAATTGCAATGTTCATATGCCACGAATTTCTTAATTAAGTTTCCTTAAATTTTTTTCTTTGAAAAGAGCTTTACTTCTAAAACTGTTTTATCAGTTTTTATGACATTTTAAGTATTTTCTCAGTTAACAATAAGTTCCTAATAAAATACCTTTCAAGATAATTTTATATTCACAGTCACACCACAGCTTGTCATGCCACGTAATAACTGATTGACTAATAATACGGCATAATTTAATAAATGGGATGTTATTTTATGAGTATTTTATAACTTTAAATAAAACCTTCAAACGGTCAAATTAGGGGCAGTCAAGTCTCAAAACAGCTATTAAACATATGAGAAAACTTAGATTGTTCGTTATCTTGGCGTCACCATTTTCTCCTCTTGTAAATTTAGGCGACAGAATGCCACTCGCAAGAATGAAAAATTTATGACATGCATAACACTAATCATACAACTAACTATTTCAAATTTCATCCATATCGATTAATCGGACATGGAAATATTATGGGTCAAGGTTGGAACTATTGCCACGTGTGGCATCGCTTCACTCTATTATGTTACTGCTTTCTGTGATCAAGGAAGCAAAAGTGAATTCGCTCATTTACCACTTACGATAGCAAAAACTACAGCAGATTCAGTTTCGCATAATTTCTTCAGGACTGCTTATACACGTAACAATTCATAAATAACATCAGACTGCAGTTTCCTCTTTTATAAACTTTGACATTAATCCCACAATAAATTAATAGATTATTAATGACTTTTTCAGTTCGTCAAAAATTTTTCTACAACTTGAATAAGGCCAGGAACACACATGCGTAAAATTCGGCGTAAAATCTAGCATAAAACAGAAAACGTAAAAATTTTTCTGAAATTTTGGCTGAAACAAAACTGAAAATAGAGTAGAGCATGTCTCTACTTTTTACGCCGAAAAATTTTTACGCCAAAATTTCTCCAATAAAGAGAAGTCTTTCCTGTGACGCCGAAGTAGACACGTGGTTTTTATTCTAACAATGGCGGCAATGAGGGTTAACCCTACAATTGTGATGGTCTCGAAAAAACGAAAAATAAATGAAATAGAGGAGTTTATTGAATCCGTTCGACCAAATCAGTGTCATGTATAAAGACACTGTATTTAAACAACGTTTATGGATGGCTACAGGTGTTAAATTTCAAATAACAGGTAAGTCTAGTAGAATCGATATATAGGCCTAGTATTTATATCACAGGTTCTTTATTTGAATTTGGAATACGAGTCTATTAATTTAAATTTTCTATATTATAGCAGAGGAAGTGTAGAAAAAATGGAAGGTACAAAGGGATAGATAGCCTATATGAGAGGAAAAAATTAATAAAATTAGTACTGTTGGTGGCAGTGGTGTTTTCTATTCGGCCAGAATTTTTACGTATGTGTGTTCTGGCATAAAAGCGTAAAACAGAAACTGAACTGAAAGCTGATTTCTGATTCAGTTTTCTGCCACACAATTTTACGCATGTGTGTTCCTGGCCTAACAATAGAATTCTTTACAGAAATCAAAAATCGGATATATAAATACCTTGGCAAAGCACCTCTATTCGAGTAAGAAGTTTCAGCTAAAACAGTTTGCAAAAGAAGATGTAACTAATATCAAAGACAAACTTATTAAGACCGGAAGTTCTAAAGACATGGAATTTAACATAAAACGTTCCGAATTTACGAAAAAGTTTATTAAGATGTACGGTGAAAAATCTAAACTCGCAATTGTTTCGTCACGGGCACTAGTAAAATTACTAACTATAGATTCTGACGACCAATATTTTGTTTCCGACGATGTCCTGTTCACAAAAAACTACGCATTTGCCATGAGAAAGAAATTTTCGTACAAAAGTAAAATCAATGCTTTGTAAGATAATTTTTAAGCTATTTTCAGGAAGTAAGTTTGGCCTATTCATACAATTGATTTATTTTCAGAATGAGAAGATTACTTGAAACTGGAATCATTCTTAAAATAACTGGAGGAACACATTTCGAACGGAAACCAACACCGCATACTGATCCGAAATCTTTGTCTATAGAACATCTGTTTGGCGCATTTGCTCTGCTTTTCGCAGGATATACCTTATCGTTGTTTTGTTTTCTAGCCGAAATTTTTGTTGGGAAAACCTGGAATCGTAAATCTCTTTTACAGAAGTAATAATTGTAATAAGTACAGGGGAGAGCAGGACTGAATGTAATGTACCTTTTAACATTTTTTAAAATTTCTTTACCCTAAAGACATTCATGATAGTATTGTATAATCTTAGTTACTAATAAGTTTTTACACTTTTTGACATGTCTAGAAAACTATTCATTTCTGCTCGGCCTCATAATAAATAATGAGGTTGCAGCCGACGTTTTTATCGCGAAAAATTGTCGGTCGGTACCTCACTAATACGTAAGTGAAATCATGCTAGACGTTCCAAACTCCATTGTTAAACTTCTAAGCTTACAGGACGGTGGCGCTGAACGTTTGATGTTCACGTTTTCGCAATGAAAACGTCGGCCGCAACCTCTAACACTTTTGTAAACTTAAAGTTGTGCACGCAGATGTTACAACCTGTCCTCGTTACATGATTGGTATTTACACTAAATAATTCAAAAAATGTTAAATTTGAAATTGAAGACACTGTGTATTGATTTTTCCAGCAAACCAACAGCTGTAACTACTCACAAAAAGCACATATTAAATTGTCTATTAATTGCAATCCTGGTGGCTTATTCCTTCAAACGAATACACTGCACCCGCCCAACGCTTCAGTCAGATGTATCCGTATGTCTCGTTACAAATCAAACACGCCCTGGACTTTAACTTTCTGCCCATAACCCGTGATAACTCGGACTGCGCGTGACGCTGCGCAGTCCATATCCCGAGTTATCTCGGGTATGGACTTTAAAGGTCCATTGAAGAAGCCTTGACATAACTTTTCCAAAATTATATGGATCAGCATATGTACATCGTTATCTATGATCTGTGCAAATTTCATGAATTATTTTTGCCGCGAAAATATTTTATGACGATTTATTAATTAGGTACTGTAATTAATCGCGCTATTGTTTTTATGGGAGTTTTTTTAATCAAATTAATTAAATCGTTCTAAACTTCTATTTCACCGATTTGACTTTGGTAAAATTTTTTAAAATGCTATTGGATGTTTTTTATGACATCAGCAGGTTTTTTATGTTTTTTGTTCAGTAGAATTTCTTTCCCATGCCTTTTATGGTAATTTAATAGCATAAAAATCGACAATATTGTGTTATATTTGAACAGATGCGGTAAGTTAGCTCCCCTCCTGCTTTAAACCAATATTCCCCTGAAGCGTACATGAGAACTACCCGGGAAAGCGGACTCCAGCTGTTCTCAAGGTCAACCAGTTTGTAAACAATGTAGATTGCACGTGTGAAATTTCATGCCTTGTTAATTAAAAGAAAGAATAACAGCTATATTTTTCAAATAAACGCATTTATTTCAAATTATTTTTATTTTTTATATACTTTTTTTGTAAAAACACTTTTTGAAGGGGTTGTTATTTCGAGGGAATTATTTTCTGGAAATTTTTTTGAATGTCAGATTTACGTTAAAGCAGAAATAATTATTTCATATATGAAATCAACATTTTTGTGGATTTCTTAGTTGCATTCGGATTGAAACTAATGTAGCGAAAAAGTTATACAGTAGTAATTGACCATTTTTTCCACGGGATCAACTACTATTTTTGAACGAATTACGTCGACCCATTTCACAACGGCCCTTTCTTCCTATTAGACCAGCAACATGGTGGCATTCGAATATTAGTTAGATAATAAAATGTTACATAATATGTTTTAAAAGGATATCGATACTGTTGAGTTTAAATATTTGATTTATTTTCCTGAGTATCAAGATAGATGAGATAATGGTACAGTAAAACAATTAGACACTTTCTGTGGTTTTCGTTACAATATTTATTATATTATAGTATTTGATTTAAATAACTACAAATGTTATCTTATGTAAGGGTTTATTACACCGTATGACAGATCGAATTCATTTTAAAAATTCTTCATTCCTCTACTGCATACAGTTTAAAGAAATTTTAAAATACGTAACATAACCTTTGTAAATATAAATCAAATACTATAATGCATTATGATAGAAAAATTACAAATTAAAAATAATCTAATAATCTTAATCTTTCCTGTTGTAAATATTTGCTTTACTCATCTGCTAGGTACTGTACAATATAATGGAATAATTGCATTAGTTTCTGAAATCATACAAAATGCAACACAAGTAATTGATATTATTGCAATTAATAGAGCTGTAGTTAAAAAAAAAGTTTCTATATAATGAAAGTGCAGAAATGAGAAACGCTTTAACTGGAAAAGATATAACTGAAGTTATAAACAGTGCCAAAATCTTCTTTAGTGGCAAAAAATGGAAACAGCATAAATACATAAATTTTCTTTACTGCGAACGACTTTTCTAGCAGTGCAATCTAGCGTCCTTGCTACAGCTATACAGATGAACATAATTCATTTGCAAACGAAAATAGCCTAACAGGTATAAAATGCACAATGTCTTGCGTTTGTTTTCTCGTTAGGCATATGTATAAAAACTGCATGAAAAATATAAAACTATAAATAATTAGCTTGATATGTTAAATGCATTCCTTTGTATGCTTTGTTTGTACAAATGAAACAAATAAATTTTAGAAAGAGAAAACAAAATAGAAGCAGGAAAGGCATTGAAGAATCAAGCAACGAGTTGCTTAACTTTCCTTAAAACATTTAAAACTGCGTGTGTAGCGTTATCTCTTATAGTATTTTATTTTAAAAATCTTTTCATATTTCTAATTATTATAAAATATCAAAAAAATTTTCTGACAGCAGGAATGAGTTTCATTTTAAAAAATTATAAATTGTAATAACAAGTACAATCGTCAATAAGTTTGAGATTACTCCACATGAACTCTTTTACACGATCGACTTAATGGCATGAATTCCCATAAATTGCAAACCTCTCTGCAAAATTTCAGAAATTTTCTACAAAAAGAATGAGCATTATTAAGCTTAAAATAGTGTGGAAAAATCGTGCCGTACCCCACACACACTAATATCTATTCATATAGAAATTATCCTCGAATTTTTTATTTCTCTACATTTCAAGATCTAAATCCAACAATTTATAAATCTGCAAGGGATCGTTTCGACAGATTGCCATACTTTCCCTCTGTTATATATAACAGAGCAAAAAAATTAAAACATTATGATTGAAATTAAAAAGTGGAATATAACTCATTGAATGCTTTATAAAACATTTCATACAATAACAATATATTTGCAAAAGTGTTCATTTGTAGTTAGAATGTAAAACTTTTTAATGAAATATTGAATGTTTAATTAGAAAGAAAGTGTAAATTAAAAAATTAATTATTTTTGACATATTAAACAAGAGATAACTCCAAAATCGCGTATGTGACAGCTGTGTGAATAAAATTAGTGATATTCATAAATAATTAGTATTAATTGTTCTGTAAGGAATAATTAACGAATATTAATTTTTTTCCTTACATGCGTTGATTTTGAATTATTTTTTTACAGAATAATTCTACAAATAAGCACATTAATGCTAAAACCAATCCAATCAAAAGCATTAATACAGGACTAATGATGTCAGCCAATTCTAATGCTTGGAATTCTGGATATTCCAGCAGCTTTGATGTTTCTGCATAATCTTTTCTCTCGATGTTCCAGCTTCAAATAAACGTATTACGCTATAAAAGAAATATATTTTTAGTTATTTCGTAATAGAAAACGTCATACAGTTACAGAGAAAGTTATATTACGTATTACTTAATTCCTTCTTAAATGGAAAACCCTTTCTTACAGCATAAGAATGAACAAACGTGATGAGAACATCTGCAGAAATTGTATATACGTTTGATTCTTTTTTTATCAGTTTATTAATGCCATATGAGTAGTAGTGGTTTGGGCAGCTTTGATCACAAAATTAATTTCATGAGTAAATTTCAAATAAAAATTTGTTGAATGGAATTATTTCAGATCACAAAATTAATTTTTTGAATAAATTACTATCGAATAAATTAAAATTGCAAATAAAAATTTGTTGAATGGAATTATTTCAGATCACAAATCTTAATTTTATTTTAACAATAAGGTTATATTAATTATTAAATTTTAAATTANTTATGTCACGGGAATTATTTCCCAGCAATTTTTTTGGATGTCAGATTCGCGTTTGAGCGGAAATAATTATTTAATATATAAAATCAACTGTTTTTGGATTTTTTAGTTGCCCCTTAGTTGTTAACTTGTCCCACACTACAATAACTTTTTTCCACAACTTAAAAGGCACTAGAGTGCTGGAAATCCCTATATTTTTCAATACGTTTAACTTTAACTGCCACACTTACAGAGATATGATTTACCCATATAAAAACTTGCAATTTTACATTAACCAAAATGCATATATTTATAACCTCATAGAGGCACCTGCCCGTAAACTTATATCGATGCCAACTGTATTTTTAAAACTTGTTGCAAGAAAATTGTGAAGTTCGGCCAGGCTCACAATTCTGCATCCCTACCCATAGTGAAGGAAGTATTGGAGAGATCACCCCCCCCGACAAATGTGTGGAGTTTTCATTTCTACTGATTCGATCTCAGATCTCCAGAGTATGAGACATTTCTTTTGTGAATTTTATTTTCGTGCTATATTATATAGAAAGAGTTGTTCTTACCCTGGCCATGAATGATGACACCATCGTTTGAAATTTCGCACAAACCAAATTTCAAAAGGTTTAAGTTGAGATAATTTATTGCAAGTTAAAATTTAATATGTGTATTTTTTCGTTTTTAGATTGAATTAAATGAAAATAAATACCAAAAAAAACGCATTTTTAATAACTCACATGCATTACATATTTTTAGAAATTAGACAAAATGCACAAATCGAATTTGTAATCGGAGATTTTGATTCAATGTTTTAATTTGAGTTAATTAATGTCGCTTCTGAGCAGCATTTTTTTTTCTTTTTTCAGAGAAAGCATGTGGGGCCGAGGGGGGGGGGAAGAAATTTAAAAATCTCAATGAACGATAATATGTGATATGTATCGTCATCGTCTCCCTTGCCGTCTGGACTGCCGAGCGGTAACAATCAACAACATGTGGAA